ATAGCCCACAGGCTGAATCCATCCACACCCTGTTTTTGTAAATAAAGTTTTATTGGAACGCAGCCATGCCCACTTGTTTATGTATCATCTATGGCTGCTTCTGTGTTGCAATGACAGTGCTGAATAGTTGAGATGCAGACCCTATGGTCCCCAAAGCGGAAAATATTTACTGTCTGGCTCTTCACCAAAAAAGTTTGCTGAACCTCCAGCTAAAACACGTATGCAGATTCAAACTACACCTTCTGACTAAGGATTGGGACAACAACCATAAACCCACAAGTGATTTTATACTGCTATGGTTTGAATGTTTTTGTTCATCTCATAACTCATGTGTTGGAAACTTACCATCCAATGTGACGGTGATGGAAGGTAGAGCTTACTGGGAGGTGTTTAGGTCATGAGGGCTCCACCCTTCTAGATGGATTAATGCTGCTATAAAATGGGCTTGCAGGAGTGGGTTCCCTCTTCTGCTTCTCCCCTCTGGAGGATGGATATAGCATTCAAGGCACCATATTGGAAGGGGAGACCTGGCCCTCACCAGACACTAAAACCTTGATCTTGGATGTTTCAGCCTTCAGCACTGTGAGAAATAAATTTCTGTTCTTTATAAATTACCCAGTTTGAGGTATTCTGTGACAGCAGAACAAAACAGACTAAGACGAATACCCCAGAAATATATAAAAATCCAGATATCTGATTGTCTCACAGGTTTATTTCTTACCCATGAGATACCTGCATAAAAACCTGTTGTCTCCCTTAAATTTATCTGCAAAGTTTCCTAAGCAAAGCAGTGCTACTGATTTAGATGTTCCCAAATTAGGAATGTGAATTCCAAAGTTACATGACACTGATGGCCAAATTTTAAACGTAAATACAACAAAAAATGAAGCAAATGAGCATACCACTGGTCAGTGTAGTCAAAGAAGGAAGCCCTACAGCTGTTTTGATGAGCTACTTTGAATAAAATCCACTGATTAGCTGAAAAGTAAAGGAACATGGCAAATAAAATTACCTGATGAAGACTCTTCAGTATTGCTCAACTTTTTCCAGCAGATGCAGTTTATAACTCCAGTGCCATCGTCCACTGCAAGAGAACCGTAGAAGGGCAGAAGAGAGATTTGGGCATGGCTGGTAAATTAGCGTGCTGTCACTACATTTAGCCATCCTGAAAGATGACATTTCTCAATGGCCTGGAGGGGCAAATTCCTTATCAAACTCTCCTTCCACCTTTAAAAACAACCTCTCACCATACCCTAGTATGAACTGCTTGCCTGTACAAGTCAGTGTAATAACACACAAGCCCAATGGGATGTATTCAGCATTTTACTTACCCTACCTCAAGGGTACCGACGATTCTTGTCTACAACTCTCTACTAAAAATGATGTCCTCAGGAAGTTAAGTGCAAAAATCTCAATGACGGCTCACATAAAAAAATCAGCCTTTCCCTCCCACCCTAAAACAAGAAAGCATCACATGGTCTGTGGTTAGAGGTACAGGCACTTAGAGCACAGCCTTCTGTCACTATTTCTCTTTGCTGTTGTGGGACTTAACAAAACAAAGCATTCCAAGTCATTTGGCCTGGGCTTCTCTTTGTGGAAGAGCTTCTGCCCAGTCCTCCCCACTGCAGGGGATGTAAAGAAAGCCAAGCACATCACAGAAGGGCACCATTTTATTTTTATAATAGAAAATAATTATTCCCTAGCAACAAAAACAATACTGGTCTGGCTAATTTCATTCCTAGTGCAAAAAAAAAAAAAAATCAAATAATTCCCATTGCACTTGGATTTATAACTGTAGAAGAATTTGGAGATGGTTGCTAGGGGATAATGGGCATTTTTTCTTTGCCTAATTTCTTACAAACTCAGAATAGAGGTTGCTAAGCATTGGGTCAGTAGGCCTCATAATTTTAAAAAAATCACCAACTAGACTGTTGTAAAAGCACACATAATATAGAAGAAATATAAGGCAAAATTTTTTTACTGCTGGCTTAAATCTGTGTTGAAAGAAAGCCAAGAAGAATATTTCTTATACAAAACTAAATCCTAGATGGGTTTCATTTCATTAAATATAAAATAGGTAAACTAAGAAGAAGACATGGATAAATACTTTTAACCTTGGGCTTAATGTTGGTGGGGACAGACTTCCTTAAAAAGAACCCAAAAATCAGAACTCATTAGAAAAAAAGTCTGATACCTTTGACTATCTAAAAAATAATACTGGACAGCAACTTTCCAAATGGTAGGGTTAGTGCTTTAATATATAAAGAGCTCATATAAATTAATGAGAAAAAATGGCTGGGCCTGGTGACTCAC